GCGTGGATATGCTGGATTACCTGCAATATTATTGCGAAATCGAACGGGTTCGGTTTCCTAGTGGCGGCAGAGTCATTCTTGTGTACACACGACCCGTTGTCCACGTGTAAGTCATTCGCCGTAGTGGATGGGACCATGATGAATCCTTCCACCGTGGCCTGTAGTAACTGGAGAGGGTCAGTTCCACCTTGGAGTTTCGAGCTTACTTCTTGCCTCGTTTGAATAGGCAACATCTTCAGGATGAGATCTACGAGTCCCTTATTTTGCTGCCGAAGTGGCTCGGTCTCGGACCCACGGTTGTCCTTCCTCGATTCGCATCGCACCCCTCGCCGAACACAAGCCCTGCAAGGCCGATCTCCCTCACACCGTATCTTGCGTTTGCGGCAAGTTGTGCATGCCTCAAGTACCGGACGGCGTCTTTCGGGGGGGACATTACTGTTCCGACGAGTTGTATTAGCTGGGGGGTTAAGAGTTGGCATCAACGGTCGTAATTGCTTGGTTTGAGTAGGCATCATGGACTCGATTCTTGCTGACGTGGCCATGACAACAAATGGGGAATATAAATTTTTTTGGAGATGATGCGCAGGACGATTTGCTGCTGGTATGCTTGGCGCTAGTTTTGTTTGTCTTGCTTGTAGGCAGCAAGTTCGGGGGTGGAGTAACTAGCAAGGAATGATTTCGACCGACTGGCATAAGAATTACCGATGGTAAGGGGAGGACCGATCCGGAAATTGCAGACCTAGTACAAATGTCTCAAATTGCCAAAGGTAGTCCTCAGGAACGTTCTATAACTAGGCAAGATTAAAATGCGCAGTACAGTAAAAGGATTAACTACTGGTAGGTACATGAGACAATTCTAAATATTCCGTGAGATCCCCAACTGAGACTGCCACAAATTGCACCCCATGTCAAAATCTACACTTGCTGTCTTTCTCGTGCTGCACCGTCAGTCTACATCTGACCGAGATTTTATCGGACTTGAAAGGGGCACTCTGTACGGTACATCAATATGCTGAAATGTTGGCTTTGATCAAACATGGAAAGTGACAAATATAGAAACTATCATCTACTCTCATATTGAGGACGAAACTGCAGGTGCCTTTCAGGACTAAAATTTCGTCCAGTAACGAAGGCGGTATTAAAGGACACTACGGAAAAACCTGGCTACAGAAATACAGATGTAGCATTTGTACATTATTGTGAGGTCCATAACGACCCAGAATACATAAGGGGGTTTTCGTTTTGCAGTGGAAGACAAAGTAAGCCGCCATGGCGCGTGCGGTTCAGGCATGGAGCACT